ATCACTAAACTTTTCCGCTAGGCTCTGCTGGTGTACTAATCTATCCTCGCGCACATCTACAGTGATTACGATGCACAACATGATTACTCAAGTTGTCATGGTTGGGGTTTGCTCTCTACACATGCCACGCAGCGTCCCACAGTGCCGTGTGTCTTCGGTTTCTACTCCGAATAAATGATTGTGCCCTTGTAGAACGAAGGAGCTTATTGACCGATGCAGATTTATTCAGATCACTGAACTTGCTAGTGAAATCCAACAAAGCACTGCCAATGGAACAGTCGTCCGGAAACTACTAGTGCCAGTTTGTCGTATTGAGTGGTTGTTCGATACAAGTTAGTATGTTGTTGTGGATACTCCGCATAATACACGAAGTCGTAAATTATGGTTATGTGGTCGCTTCGCCCCATTGGGCTCACTATCCTTGGATTCTCAATCATGAGCTCTATGTTCGTGAGCACTAAATCAAATACTAATGGTTTGTTTCTGGCTCTGAATCGGGTGGATGAACTGACATGGGTGAAGAGCGGAATGCTTGCAATGTACTCTTGCAGGTCAGCCTTAAACTGCTCGTTGGGGGATGCCCGAACTTCCAAATGATGAAGATTGAAGTCACCTGAGATGAGAACATGACTGTATCGTCCTCGTAGGACGCTTCTCAAGGATAATGCCAGGCGGGACTCCATCTCTGGGGTGGACATAGGGGGACGATAAACAACGGACAAAACGCAAATGTCGTTGCGTCTCAGTCGCAGACTGCACCAGAGTGAGTCTATGATCAGCGTTTCCGGATCGGCCACCGGCTCGCACTACAGGTAGTTGCGGTAGTGTAACACTACCACCCCGCCTTTGTTAGGTAGATCATTTCGGAGAAGGGACATACCATTTATCGCGACTTCGGCATCAATTTTTTCTGAGTGCATTCAGGTTCCTGTAAGGAGTAGGACGTCCGAGGCATGTGACGCTTGACGTAGCCGCAGTTCGGCTACCTTGTTCAGGAGACCTTGTGCATTGTTATACATGCACGAAAGTTTCTCTGTTTTTAGCAACGAATCGTGGAATGGCTGGTTTGGATAAACTGTTGTGCCGACCAGTAAAAAATCGGCAACTAAGCGCTTTTTCAGTGGGGGTTGACGAACTCATCTGTGTCCGATTCATTACCTCTTTGCTTCTCTCTTTGTATGCAATGTCTGGGTGTGTTTGCCAATTTCTTTGGTTAGTTGATTGAAGTTATCCGAACTCTTGTCGTTAAGTGGCCTGACTAAGTGGCTGCACTCACCTGGTTACTTAGCAGATGCCGATTTGATCCGAAGCTCGGAAGGAAGGCTGCAGCGGCCCGCATACCATCCCTCCAATACCATTGCTGACATTTGTCTAGATTGAAGAACAACTTTCACGATCCTCGGGCCACATCCCTTGTACAGTTTGGCGATCGGCGCCGCCTCGAGAGTGATTACGCTATGAGGTCTTCCAGGGAGACGGTCTTACGAATTTACCGCCAGTACTTCTGGTCGTGAGTGGCAGTTTCGTGCTCGTCATGACTTCCAGTCTCGGGCCAACAGTTACAAGGATGGTTCTGGCTACGAATTCCTACCGGTTTTAGTTCAAGTATTGCTTCGTCTGTATCCGCTTGCTCCACGGAATATCCGGGAGTAGGCGGATTAAAACATTCCCCATTCCGAAGGTGATCTGTCCATAACAGGACAGCTTCAGCTTCATTGGCAGAAGTCAACACAACTCGAAGAAGTCTTGGTTCACCGTAGCACTGTGGGTTTGGGTGACAGGTAACGCGTGTCCAATTCACGGACATAGTTACAACAACTAGAGTGTCACATATGGGGTTCCACTGCTTCACGTCATCGAGTTGTTTTCTTTTTAAGGAATTTGAGGTCGATTCTGGAACGCTGGCGCAGATTACCGCTGGTATACTACGTGCAACTCTGCTTGAGATTAAGCGACCAGCTATCCTGTATAAAGTTGATGGAGACCATTTGGGCACAGCTTCGTCTTCTTCATTTACAATGGGTCCAGTGGGAGTAGCCGAAGATCTAGGTTTACGGTCACCTTTGGCAGCAACAAAGTTCTAACCACCACTGATGTCGGAGCCATTTCAACTTTTCGGAACCGTTTGGAGGGTGGAGGAGGCCCTGACCGTGCTCATTGCAATCGGACTGGCGGTGGTTGTTTCAGGCATATTTAAGCAACTGGTGACATTGGCGTTTAGAACCACAGATGATGAACTGTTAGCGCGCTACCTAGCCTTCTTCCTCAGTTTTAATTCGGTGCTGGATGGGAATGACTGGGATTTACTCTCTGTCACGTTTTCTACAAATGAAACGCTTTTGCTGCCCCTCATTTGTTCAAACATTGCCACTAGTCTTTCGTACTTCTGCGATATTTCATGCACAACCTGGACCAGTGGGATGACTATACATACTGAACAGAACCGCAGTGAATCTGGTTTGCTATTGTGTAGCTTCAGCTGGTTCATTGTGAGCTGAGAACATTTGCGACGGAACTTGCCTTGGCAACTGCTACACTGCTTTCCGATCCATACCTTTTTCTGACATGAAGGAAGACCACAAACTACTATCGATTTGGCGGCGGTAACATGGGCTTTTGGTCGGTCGCCACAATCCGTTGAGTCGGTTGATGGTATTCCCGGGTAGGCCCTTAGCACTTATGGTTTTCTGTCCGTCGCGTGTGAGCTGAATTGTCTGCATGTTCAAGGTTGGCACGTTCTGTGCGTCTGGCCCAAGCGGGGCAGGTTTAAGCGGCTTCATCGTCCACGCGGCAAACAGAGCGACTGAGCAATGCGGAAACACTGTATACGATAGCTACTTTGATGAATGGTCCACAGCTGTAGTTGGTTATTCTTCAGATGAAACGGGTAGTTAGCTTTTGTTCGAGACCACAAATATTTCTGTGTGGTTCGTGATTCGGAAAATTCCTCGATTGTGTATTTCGGGAAGGGCGCAAAAGCCCTATTGTGAAGATAAAAGGCGATCCACACAATCTACCTCTGAAAGATACAGTGCACTAAATAGCACAGATGAATCTGCGTCGAATGAGCATGAACACACGTTTGTGTGACAAAACGCAACTGATAACGGAGGCAAAACGATGTGTTCCCTGATGAGTATTTGGAAAGCAGGTTCGTTCAAGGTTATTCAAGGCCAGTCGAGGTCAGAGCGATTACGGATCGACGTGTGACGCTAAGCAAAAGATGCGCTCCTATTTGTACAGACCCACACCTCTTCCTCTCGGTCAAAATACAAGGCGAAACAATTTCACAGTAAAGCAGCCTGTCAAACGAAGATAAGAACTTGGTTGTTTGCGAACGCTTTGGCGTTCTTCGTGTTTCCAAGTATTCGGTGTGACAAGTCATACGTACATTGCAAGATCGGCATTTTATCAACCTGAATGATAAATTTATTAACCAAACTCTTATGCAACGAAACACCTTTTAAAAATGGATTTTGCTAGATACTAAAAGGTGTAACCTTGCATTCCACTGAAGCACGCGGCGAATTTACAATTACCTGAAGTGAAAATTCGATAAACCAAAGGGCGTGCTTTATGTGTTAGAATCTGATACCAAACATTCTATAGCACAAGCCAAAGAGATAAGGGAACGCAGCACATGGTGTTTTAGGGGAAGTATTTGGCTATATAACATGTCCTTTATGCTTTGTACTGCCAAACGTTACAGCACAAAACCAGTTACCTTGTACACTAGGAAGCAGAGTCACCGAACCACCGATATCAGATGGTAGGCGGTTAACATTACACTGGGGGGGGGGGTAAAAGTTCCTTTACCTTCGTCATTCCGTCTCTCGCCTCCGCTGACCACAGTTCCCGGTTGATATCGAGCATGAATCATGCGCCTGCACTGCGTCGACGGATGAGATGCGCAGACCGGAAGAGGCCACAATTCCGGCACCAACACTTTGTCATTTAACGCGATCGGATGGCGCAGCGCGTGCTTCAGGTCGATCACGTCTGTAATGTCGATGGACTCGTACTGATACTGATCCGAGCAGACGCGAACGTCTTTGGTGCCACATCGCGTTCCACCAGCTCTACGGAATGGGCCGAATTGAACCAGTACTCTATCCCCGACGGGAGTACGTTGCTGTAATTGGAAATGGCACTGATAATAACATTGACTATCATAACAGGGCGTATGCAACTGGGATGCATGGCAAGACATGCAAGCTTTAATTTTCAATGCGTCTCGGATTTGGTCAATGTTTGAATTGAGTGAAAAACGAACCAAGTGGAAAAATGGCATGAAATGAACGAGTTCGTTTTGCTTTGGCCCGGTTGCATCAGGAACCTGTTTTGGACCTAAATTGTTTTTGGATATTATATATTTAAGGCACTTATCTCCTGTTAGCAGTTTGAAACGCACGGTAAGATGAAGAAAGCTGGTATATGCGTGCATTTCTTATCGCCTCCTGAGTACAGTCACTAATAACCAATATGCAACCACATACCTAAATGCCGTGGCTGACCTCCTGCCAGGTACTCGTTCTGGGATTCCTAAGGTGGTGAAATATATCATTTATTTATGTATTTATTTCTAATTACTGTTGAACCATTTGACACAGGGCGTTGCACATTTTAGCACATACCACGTACTGATGAAACGTACACACTCGCATAAGCAACTAACGGGTATAGTTTCATTGTTCATATAGCAATTCAAGCAAACCCGAGGGGACAAGGGTTTGGAGCGTCTCAAAGACTGCTTGCCCTCGATGATCAGACTATCTAATGCTCCACGTCCTACATACTTATTGCTCTTGTTCCTGCGAGTAAGGAGTTATATTCATGCGGTGTGGCCCGACGGCTAACACGTGCTAATGTAGAGAGTTTAGAGATGAATACTGTGGGCGTTAAGAACTATCCGCTGATGTATATTCGCTGTTGTTTGCACTCGGTTTCTATTGGCTGGTCGGTTGATTTGGGGACGGTGTTGGATATCTGACCTTGAGTACACAAACGCTGGTCATAAATTTTGCACCATCTCCGAGGTGCTTGAAGGTCCTCTTCTAGTAAAATTCTAAATCGGGTATCCTAACCATTAGTAACTCTTGCGCTCGTTGTGCTTTATACCTGAGAATTGTTACGTGTCCTCTATGCTCCTACATAGTGTTTAAAACTCAGTCAACGTGTACGAGGAAACCACTGATCAACTTGACGTTCGTGGTTGATGGCAACCTCGACAGCACTCAAGCAATGCGCAGCGAAAGTATCGTGCCTTCGAATGCCATCACCCATAAGAAGAAATAACCTTCCAGAACATTACATATTTTTTGTAGATGATAAATTAAAAAGTACGCAAGTATACCAGTTATTCTATTGAAATGTGCGTTACTCTAGCCCGTAAACCTGGGCAACTGTTAGAACACATTATGTGAATAGAATCGGTCTACGGGTGGATAATCAATGTCCGTGTGGTACAAGTTCGATTTAGCTGTTTTTTCCACTGCTGTTATCTGGCCGTACATGATAGTTCGCCCTGCTGTCATATCTGGCTATTGGTAGACAGTTATCACATATAGACTCAGGAAGACAGTCATCACGCGACCGCCTCATCCTCTCGGAACTCATCAACATTGTACCTCCCATCTGAATCCCTGTGGGGATCGAAGCTGAAACTCGACGGTTGACAGCTTCTGCTTTAAGACCGTAAACATGACCGTAAACGTGATATAGCGCCTCTTGCCATCTGATAACTCTCACGTTACTACTTTGCAGTGAACGGTGTAGCCAATTCACCGAGCGACGAGCTAGTACTTTAGACGTGTCGTTTGTTACCGTCCTCAGTTGCTCAGAATAGCAGCATTCCGGTTGCAGGTTAGAACCCCACAAGAGTCAGATGAAATGCGCACGGCTGACGATTCCAAAAATGATGAATCTGTGACACAGTACTTTTCTCGGCATGTGTTGTTTGTCTGACAGAGTCAATATGTGCTAAATATCTACTTGAACTATTCAATTATTCGCGGTACTCGCAATTAAACAACTGGTTACCTTCAAGTGCCTCAAGCTTTTTCGATGCCTATCAATTCGTCAGTGCATCGGACTTGTTTAGAGGGACTGCGCCCAACAAAGAGTATTAAAATGGCTACATCCCCGAGAAACTATACCAAATTATAAGAACTTCAAAATATTGCCGCGAAGTTATCTGTCAGTGATTCATTCGTAGTTTGCATCCAACTAACATTTCAACATCTTCAACATTTGTCATGTATTCATGGTTCCCTACATTAGCATGATGACCACAATATGAGGGCTTTATGTCATTTCAAGCTGCTGCTAGGAGAACAACGGACTCACTTGCGAATGTTTATACACAGGTTTCCACTCAAACCGCTGCTGCATTCGCATCTACATTGGAATAACAGACTGTTAGCTGGCCCAACATAATCCATTTGAGTTAGTTCAATTTTACCAGCCCTCTCAACATATGTAAGATGCAAAAGTATGTGGGTAGTAAGTGCCAGACAAATGCCGCTGATATATGGCACACCTGAATAAGGCCGAAGGTAAAATCAAGTGTGAAGGGTCTGTACGCGAAACAAATATGTGAACCATGATTATGATATTGCGGGTGATTTTGAAGTACGTGTTGCTTGGATGGATTGCGAAGCACAATTTCAATGTTGACAGCGATTCCCATTGAAGTGAACCTTCGTCACTCGATCACTAGGACCGTAGCTGATGAAACTAGAATTTGGGTGTTGCGCGGCCGAAAACACTGCACTACTATGACGCCTTTCGATGTTATTACATGTCATCAGCTAGGGTTAGCAGGCATCGAACCCGGGACCATTGGGATGTTAGCTGTGATCCCTACCCCTTAGCCACTAGGTGACGATGGGCAACGCTTGGTACAACGGTATAATGCACGATGTTGAGGGTCATTTTGAAGTACAGTACAATGTTTTCGGCTGGACAACACCAAATTTCCAGTTGTATCAACTGCGGTCCTCGTGATCGAAAGACCAAGTTTCACTTCAATAGGAATCGCGGCCAACATCGAGATTGCGCGTCGCAATCCATCCACACAGCGTCTACTTCATAATGACCCACAACATTGTTCATTGTACCGTTGTGCCAAGCGCTGCCCGTTGTGACCCGGTGGCTTAGGGGTAGCAGTCACAACTAACATCCCAATGGTCCCGGTTTCGATGCCTGCTAACTCTATTTGATGAGATGTAATAACATCGAAAGGCGCCATAGTAGTGCAGTGTTATCGGCCGGGCAATACCCAATTTCTAGTTGCAAGGTTTTAATTGCTATTATGCAGGGATTTGGTCCGGATGGTTTGCTTTAACCAAACCAAAGTAAAGAAAATGGGAAGCGTACTTTAATATTTTAATGGTCACTCTCATGCTACCTCATCAAGGTACCATGGAGTTCAACTAGTAAACATTGGACAACTGAGCAGTATGAATTGTAGACGACTACATCAATCTACATGAAGTTTAGGCTGGTTACAGTGGGCTTTTGGATGTCACAGAACGCGGGCGTTCGCCCACTCCGAGCGAACTCAATTCCGGTGTTACATTGGTGGCTTTATTCTCCATAATATACCCTTGCCTGCATCTAGCTCCTTCAAGTCATGACGCGTAGTTCGTATCTATCGACTTTATGCTAATGACTTCTAGCTCTACCCAGCTATCAGGCTAATGAGAACCGCGATAGACAGCTACACTAAGGCAAGAAAAACTGTAAGACCAATCTTCCCAGCCAAGGCCAATTAGATGTATGATTCCTATTGATGTACGAGTAAAAAGGTAGGAGCAAAACCTGTCGATGTCCCTGCTGATCTACTGACTCCTACTACCCTTGAAATTCCACCCATCGTTATTGCTCACTGGGGCGACAGATGAAACTGGTATGGCTATGACAATCGGATCCGTCTTCTTCGCATTGCTTTACAGTGCACGCGATATCTGGCAAAATATGGTAATGCGAAGGCTAGAACAATGTGTTATATCCGACAGGACGATCGATTTGTGAATACTTGCTGGAACATGTGAGCGGAGAAACATACCACATGGTGAATGACCCCCAGGTAAAAGTGCCCATCAGTGCGTCTCCTGGCCAACACCTCGCGTCCCTTCATCAACTTGGCCAGAGGGATTGCAACAGAGGACCAAGAAAGCCAGTGACTGTTCGCCGTAGCGCGTGCACATTCACGCGCACATTCTCGTAGTCGTTGATTCACTTCGTTTAGAAACCGGCGGTTAACAGAGGTTCGAATCCAGGGTATTAGTTGGGTGGAATCCTCAGGCTCATTGTGTTTGCAAACACCCTGCATTTTGCCGATACGCTCTAGATCAGAAAAATACAAAAGCAGGAGGAAAAGCTTATGAATAGCAAAAATGGTCGAACCCGAGGTTTACAAACTATTACGGGGAAACTGAAGTGGCACACTGACAGAGGAACCAGTAAACAAAACAGTGGTTCATGGTAACATCAACTGCGTCAAATCACTCGACCTAACATCAAAAAAGATTCCGTTGAGAAATGAATGTGCACTACGCCGGTAAGAACATGTCTCAAGGAAACATTAGCTCGTCGTGCCAAGCTGAGGGTGCCATTAACTGTAATATTGCTATTGTCCTAACAAACATTTTTCCAAGGACCAAAGGTTTTCAGTTATCTTACCTTTTCAACTGCATGGAAAACTATGTTATCTGATATCAATGATCCTTCATTTCAGAACGATGCCTAGCCTAGTTCGTACTACGAAAAGTCAGCACCGCTGAAAAGACGCGGTGGTTGGTTGGGTTATGACAAACTAATCGCACATAAACGTCGGCAGTAGCGAATTGTGTTACGTTATGTTTTAGTATAAGCGCTACATTTATTGCTTTCTATACCCTTTAGTATGTTTCCCAGTTATACCTTCGTTTTGTAACGATCCGAAGATGCAAACAAAGCCTGGACAGGTAGCAAAACTTGCTATTCGTAAAGTGAAGCAGCACTAATACCGTACAGAAATTCGAACCGTTACTTAAGTTCTGAATTTTCTCCCTCATAATTTTAACAATTGCTTCTTCTGTCATTGGTGTACGCTTATTGGCCAAGTTGTTTTAAAACCGTTGGACCGAATCATAACCGGCGTTCCAATGTCGTCTCCTCCCTTCCGAATTTATCATACCGACAGCGAATGCACTGGTCGTTTGTTATGAGTATTCGATGCCATGTCGCATTCGGTCTTTCGTCTTCTTGTTTTGCGTCTTTCATCAAGTATACATCCAACTACAATAAGCAGACTTGAGTACTGTCATCGTATCTAGGGAAGGAAAGTTCAATACTAAATTGGAGCCATTTCAATGTTACCTAATCAAATGGATGTAGGATCCACGCGTCGTTCGTAATATTTGACAACCAGTTTCCTATTTTGTCCTACTTTATACAACACATTACGCAAGCAGCAGTGAGAAAAGAAACAAAACGAAAGGTGAACTAACTGTCTGTTAAGGATCAAAAAGACAGCAGTAACTTCTAAACCGCATAGTGTAAAGCCTGCCCAGGCACGTCGTGCGAGAATTAATCGAGCCCGGATATCTACGGTATTGAGTACAAGAGGAAAATTTATCTCTTTCTGTAGTGCCTACATGCCCTTGGTTACCCGCACCCTTCGTGAGTTCAATCAATTGTTGAATTGAGAAATAAAGCAGTTATCTGTTTGTTCAGATGATAAATTTTCTGAGCATTACACTTAACCTTATTCCATAATTGTTTGCCGGTCATCATAAGGCTCAGGTCCGCCAAATTTAGAAGACAACTCACGATGATTACATTGCGTTGGCTGGGAAGTCACTGAATGATAGATCCGAGGTACCTGACGATAAATTCTTCCTGAGCGACTTGAGATAGTTGGCACTGAGGATGATACGAGCAACATGTGAACGTAAGTGTTCTCAGAGTCTTTGTGATCTTCCAAACACCAAACGATACACCCCGACCCGCAAGTTTCGCTATTAGTCGTCAACCAAATACTTGCTATCGAACCACCGGTAATTTCCGCTAGTTGATAAAGGTCTGGGAACCTTTGACAAGGGCAGGCGTGTTCCATTGGCGAATTTTGAAAGGTAATCTGTAAAACAGTAGAGTAAGGAAAAGTTCCATTGGTTTTCATCAAATCGCAAGTAATTTGTTTGCTCAGCGGACTAGGTGGTTCCAAGCCTCTAACGTCACATAGGCAAAACCAAGGGTTGTATGATTCTTGTGCAGATTTAGAAAAGCTTTTGGATAATACCGAAGCTTTGGCTATTTTTCTCTTGTAATTCAACAATTGTCCCAGCAATGTAATGAATTTTGCGCTTATTTTCATGAAGTACTGAGAACGAAACATGCTGATGTTTAGCTAAACATTTTTAAAGTTAATACAGTACAGCCAGGATACACTCAAAATATCTAGTCTAATAGTGTTCAAATGTCATTGTCAGTAACTAAATAAATTTTATATTGCAAATATATTGTACATGAGAAGTCGTTCTCTGAAAGGGAGAGACCAACGATTGCTACAAATTGTCGCAAACACGTAAATAATTGACATACGCGAACACAAGTTTTATGTTAATGACAGTAACACAAACTAATCAGAATTATTTGCTGTTTTTTTGACTTGTCGATGAACTCGTGTTCTTCAAAAACACAACCGATGTTTGGGCCAAGAAGAAAAGGAACCGAAATGCTTTGTATACATTGCGATGCCGGAGATGAATTTTGCCCGTTGGGCTAACATTGAAAGACCCTGCCAATTATCGACCTATCTGCCTAAGGTCCGTATTGTAACAGATAATGAAAAGGATTCTCAATTGAACTCTTCATCTTCACTTCAAGAACTTAAACGTCATCTGATGCACTCAGCATGGCTTTCGATTGGCACTCACATGTACCTCGAACTTGCTTGTTTCTACGGAAAACCGGGCGAGATCGGTATAGGCTGGAAAAGACTTGGATGCTGTTTTTGTAGACTTCAGCATGGCGCTCGATAAGGTTTACGATGAAGGACTCCTTCATAAACTCCAAAGTACTGGTGTCTCTGGGCACGTTGTTTCTTGGATCGCTGATTTCTTGGATGGCCAGATCATGCAAGATAAATGAAGCCTAGTCCGCTCCTGTGCTCATGAAAGCGGTGGCCCGCAAAGATCGCCACTTAGTCCAGAACATTTCAAAATCTGCATTAATGACCTCCCTTCAGAACTTCAATCGAATAACCTGATTTACGCCGACGTAATGAAGCTGTCCTTAAAGGTATCCCCTCTCGAGGATGCTGATAGATTGCAGGCGTCACTGGACATGTAATATGAGTAGTTTGTCAAGTGGCGATTGTCCATAAATGGTGAAAAATGCCCAGATCTCCCCCTAGGCGCCCCTGAGCACTTCGGGACGTACCTTATTGGTGGGGTGTTACTCAGAACTACCATTCTTGGGAAGCATCTCGGTGTGCTTGTCTCATATGATTTATTGAACACAGAGGACACACTACGGAGGAAAACACGGTTGTAAGGAGATCTCTTTTCGGTAACTCACATCAAGTAAAACATCTAAAGGGATAAGTTGTATAAGCATAACCTAATGAACACTGAAATGAATGCAGGAGAGAGTCTGAATTTATTCGGATGGAAGTAGTAAAGTCTGTGTTATCGATGTAAGCTGACACTAAGGAGGGTTGCCTCTGCCAATAGGATGTCCCATGCCATACGGAGACCCTTCTCGCGATTTGCTCCGAGGATCTACTGCATCCTGTTTATTTCCCATGTGCGCCCCCTCCTTGAATACGGATTACTCAGCATTTGTCTTCTTACTAAGTTCGAAGGTGGCATGACTGAGAAAGTTCAGCGGTGTGGAGCGAAATCCATCTTGGATTTGCCGGACTTGCCTTATCCTCCAAGACTACAGCGGATGAACCTGTTCTCCCTGGAATATATTCGACCTCACGGTGATCTGAGGGGGAATGAGATGGGGAGAGAATTGCAAGCATTCTTCCAAGTCAACGCTAATAGTTCAACTCGGGGTCATATTGGAAACTGTTTAAACCAAGAAGACTCAGAGTTCGTTCCGCTCTCGCTCTATCAACCCGCCTCGTAAATAGAACGACTTGCCGAAACCTGTGTTTAACGCTGAGCTCGAGGAATGTTTCAAGCATGTTTTGGATCCTCAATTGATTAGTAAGCTGAGACCACGCTGGTTCCAAAGTAGATGTTACAACCCCTTGTGGAGTAGTAGTTTGCAACGATCTACGGTTTGCACCCGATGATCGGGAAGAGGAGTTGGCAACCTCCTACCACTACTGCTCTCTACCATCCAATTATCCAATGGAAGATTCTGGGAAATGTTTGCAGGTAGTTTGTACAAGACAACATTTATGCATAGTATGTTGGCATGGGTGGTGTTGGAATTATGCAATCAGAGCAGAAAGACAGATTTACATGACAAAGTAAGCCGATAGATTGCCGCAAGCTAAACAGAATAGATGATTGGATGCATACACGTCTCCGCTTCTGCACTAATTGGTTAACATTTGGCTGCGCATAAGTGAGTTTGTTTGGTTGAAATGAAGGAAGTATCTCCTGAATGGAGAAGCGTAATTATTTACGGAAGCGACCTAGTTATTTAAATGGAGGCTTTCGAAGATTAGTTATTCTGTCCTTTTCGCTGTACTTGCTTTGCAGCATAAACCGTTTGTCCCTGAGGTACCGAATGTTGCGACATAGATGAGCATCGCATAAGCTGAGGCGAAAACAGCCCATAAGTTTAAAAAGACAACTCAGTGTAGCAGCGAAAGAGCTGGAGAATAACGTTCAAGACCAAAGCGGTATACATACAACTACATCGTTTAAACACGAAACTTGTTGAATACTATTGGCTAAAGTGAAACTGTAGTGCCCCGATAAATACTTACTATACTATATATGCAAATGTATCACTGAAAGGTTGTGTACTGTCTGTTCCGGTTTTACTGTCCCATATCCCATGGCCATTTCACACGAATTCGGCGCACCAAGTTTTCGGCAGGGGAGTTCTAGTGCTAAATCCGCTCCGTCTCGTTTCAACCGCCATTAACCGTTTGTAGCCCATTACGAATATATTCCGCTATTTCTGACCATCCTGACTTCTGCTATCCGTATTTGATTATGTACCGCTTTCCGGACCAGTATTTACCAGTCCTATAAAGCTCAATTAATTGACTTAAATGCATTAATACAAAAACGATATAGTTCTTGACAGTGAGAGGGACAGTCTAAACGAGTGCTCGGATCATGGTGTATAGCTGCCTCGCATGGAGCAGGTTAGAAGTTATAACTTTTCTCGGCAGTTGCCAACTCTTTTCAGTGATTAATATGTTTAATTTCGTCAATATGGTGAAGTTGTCGATAAAAGTAAACGCAAACAAATGCAATGGTATAAGTAAAATAATGCGGTCAGCCATTAAAATGCTGTGAACACGTGATCACGCTGTGCGGTAGCACTTTAATCCGGCTCTCGCTCTGCCCTCTGTGGCCACTCTAATTCTTCCCACACAATATTGTGTGTGCGCTCGTTCGAACCAGTTTGACAAGGCCTACTGAGTGTTACCCACCGCTTGGATCTAACCTGTGTGGATAATATTCTTGCCCCAGTTCTCCGTTTTGGTAAATTCTTTGTCCAGTTCTACGTGTGTAACTACATCAAAACGGAGTTTTTCGGGAAAGATTTTGGTGTCATTCGGAAGAAGAAGCTGAGGACTCCTAAACCACGCGAAAACTATCGCTGCAAGTTGCAGCATAAAACAAAAGTAGTCATTTTGCTTCGTTCATCAACCAAAAAGCTCTAGGGACGCTTATCAGCGCTCCACCTGCATCGTCGCTTAAGGCAGGCCGATCAACACATGCTGTCGCTTTGTGTGGTTGTGTGTTGACAACTGCGAGCCAATTGATCGCTGAACCCGACAGTCTACGATTTGCAACCTCCATCTGTCTCGACCGACTGACCTTAGTGCAGTTGAACAATTCTCAGTTCATGAGCGTCGTTTGACGGGTTTGTACGTCACTTCCGGCGCACAGAACACTCATCAAGGTGAGCGCTCAGAAGGCCTTGCTGCAAACGATAAGACGACAACTAGCATTCTAAGGTTTCCACGTCGCTTATGTTGCATAGACAATTGCAGTAAAGTCCTTAAGATCGG